ATGTTAGGTATGGTTTAATCTAAACCCGGAATGAACTTTATTCTTTGTCACTTTCGGCTGATTATTGAAACGATTTTAACATATGTAAATACTAAATTCTAAATCCATCAAAAAAATAGTCGTCAATAATACCCAAATTGGGATTCTGACGACTAATGGCCGGTTTTCCAGCTACTTTTAACCATTCTTTAGTGTTTATGGTTCCATAACTTCATGAAATGCGTTTCCGAACTTAACATAACTTGAGATTTACTCTATTAATAACTTAGTTCAAACTAACACTAATAAATCAGTATGTAATTATAAAATAAATGGAAACTTCAGCAGTCCAACATGAGAGATTCTAAGCAGCGCTTACGAAGCGTTTAAAATTCGTTTCACTATTCGGCCGTCAGTCTCAATAGTATCTAATGACAACATTGGCTTGAATGGGTTCTAATTTTATGTATAATTTATAACTAAGAAATGTACGTGAGATTTGATGCAACACGTATCACATAAGGCTGACTACAAACCTTTGTTTTAAAGAGTATACCGATAAATTTATCTGATGCGGTAGGCATAACACAAACGAAATTATGATAGCTCGTTAGTGTCCTTCAGTCAATGTGGAAAAGTGTCATAAGATATTATATACCCACAATTTTTTTTTTATCATCAGGTGGCAAACAAGCAAGCGGCCACCGGAATCCGCTAAATGGCAAAGCGACCGCTGCACAGACATTTTCAATAGCAAATGCGTTGCCTACTCTTAATCGACGTAGGAGACACCCATGAAGGATATTTCCCCTTCCAATGCGTCTCCACCAGCGTCAAGTCCACGTTCCGTTCCCTTCCATCTATACTATTATAATAAAGCGTAAACACACACTTCTTTGTTGCCTAAGATGTCAGCAATTACAGCATATTTTTGAATAATTTTTTTTAACAAAAAATCGTATACTTACGCCACGCTTTGGGTTATATATTTTCACGCCATTGAACTTAGGGGGTATATATTTTGCATAAAAACCCTAATGTGGGAAAGAGACCATAAGTTGCTGCCAACATCAAGGAAGCAAGATTGCCAAGGTTTGTCATGTCATGTCATTTTGACACTTGCAATTGATAATTTGACAAATGTAAACAATAAAATAAAAGTTTCATAATTTCATGCGGATGGAGCCGCACGGAAACAGCTCGTTTCTTATAAAAACCTAAATATAGAGGATAGTCTGGAAGAACGCATAAGCTTGCTTTTGTTTTTTTAATCTCGTGGACGGAGTCGCGGGCGAAAGCCAATTTTAAATAAGTTAGTTACTGTGTTATTCTTTTTTGAGTACTCTTAATACTTTCTAATCTTTAAAGGTCATTAAGTAAGCTTATATTAAAATGTTTTTTGTATAATAGTTTTCTTCAAATAAGCTCTTTTACGTAGTAAACACATAATCCCTTTGACCTTTTTTATCTCTATCGGCTTATATTGAAAATTATGAAGGCTGTCATAAAATAATTTTACATATTTATTCGTCTTCAATATCGTCATAGTTTTATAAAAGTAAGCGATTAGGGATTTTTATAGAAAGACTAGCTGTTGCCCGCGACTTTCTCGACGCAATATTAAGATGTAATTTGCCCGTCTATGTCAGCTACCATTCAGTGAAAGTCCGGTCAAAATCGGTCTAGCCGTTTCGGATATTACCCGGACGAGGCTT